TCAGCGTAGTTATTCTGTTTCTGATGAGTTGGCTAATGGAACTGTAGAAGTTAAGACTATTAGCGAATTGGTCGACTGCATGGAGGTGACAAATCTATTAAACTCATTTAGTATTTAACTAATGTTATGTTGTGTATCTATAACACTGTTATTTATAAAAAATACTATTTGTGGTTGTTTTAACCTCTGAAAAAAATTGTGTACAGTTTCCAGAATACATAGACGGGCAAAGGATTGAAGTATGTTTATAAAACTAAGATTTAACTGATAGGAAATGAGAGGATCAAATCAAAGGAAAACATTTATATAGGGGATTGAATATGCTTTGTAAATGGGAAGCTATTTTACTCTGAATTTATATATGTTGCTGTTTTAGTAATTTTGTCAAATTTGATTTGCTTATAATATATTACATATTTTCTGGAAATGACATAATTGTGTGAGTGTTAGTTGTAATAAAATGACTTATTTGTTTTCTACGCCATGTGCATATATATGTTTTTTTGGAATACCTGTTAAGTAAGTTTATGAGCATTTTACAATCTGAAACTTCACTAATAAAAAGTTTCAAGTTAACAAAACTTGAGCAACTACAAGGCCATGTTAATGTAAAGTTGTCTCAACTATATACATATCTCACTCTCATTAACAGAGGGACCATTCCTAAAATCCCTAAAATTGTGATCCCTTTTATGCGACCAAATACTACAATTCCCCTTCCTCTCAAGCAGACAAACTCTGTAAGTGCCCATGTGGTTACAGCTCTGCACATAGGTTCTTCCAAACTTCTCAGCTCAGCGAAATGTGCAAAACATCAAGAGACAATTCGAGGCACTGACTCTATACCTCAAAAAACAAAAAGGCCAATGCTTGTGCTTTCTCCTTTTGCTCGGTAGATGTTTTCCGGACTGCTTTCCTGGATGATTTAGTATCAGATCTACATAGTTTTCAACTGCTCTAATGTATTGATCTAATTTACAACTAAATTTTTGCACTAGCAAATCTGTTGATCAAGAATGATGGTTGCCAAACTCTACTCGAAGTTGCTCAAGCAAACGGTTTTATTAATGTTGTTCGTACTATTGAGGTATAATATTGGGTGTTAGTATCATGCTTTAATTACAGCAAGCTTATCATAACTCTTGCGCTTTTGTTGCGTGCAGATGCTTGAGGAAGCTGGCGCTGGACTAACTCTAAGGAGTCTGAGGTGCTGAGCGGAGGAATGGTTGTCGTTGTGCTAAGTTACCTCTGTTTGTATAAGTTTCATGCACTTTTTTATATTA